GGGGCTGTGCGCCGTTGAGTGCTGAGGAGCCGCAGGCGCGGCCCTGGGGGGCCCCCCCGCCAGTGTCTTCTGCTGTGGGAAAGCAGATGAGCGTTTGTCCTGCCACGAAATACAGCGCAAAGGAAAGGAGTTACAAAAGAAACAGTACGAAACATAAAAGATTTACCGTGGCTTGATTTCAGTTTAGAGAAACAGAGGATTACAAAGGGAAATAAATAACTATATTTTGATAATGACATAACCGTGACAAAAGAAATGGGCTAATTACCCCAACACACCACTTGTGAGATCGCTTCGATAGTCAATGAAACAGCCACGAGAAGCAACTCAGTAGAGTTTAAGTACTAGGCTTATGTTTGTCAGCCTGGATTGATTTAAGTTTTCTTTACTGTGTGGAGATGCATGGACAAGACAAGATAACGTGGGAGTCCTGGGGATTTGGTAGAGCTCAGAGGCGTCTGTCCTTCCTTTCTCACGAGTGTAATTTCACTGTTGTGATATTACAGGAATTTCACTGCATTTGGCCAACTGCACATCCCCAGGGCTCAGGAGAGCCGCGGCTCTCCTCGCTCCTCCCTGAACTGCTCCGGCAAGGAGGCATCTCAGAAGGGCTGGAAGGAGTGGAGCCTGAAGCAGGAGCTCACCCAAATGCGAGTTAATTGGGAGTGTGATTCCCTTTGAAGCCTGAATATATCTCTGTCTCAGCAAAAAGAGTGCTACAGGTTTCTTGGTAACTGGGAAGACACGTTACACAGATCTATCCAGCCTTTTAAGCACGTAACAAATCAGCACCTCACTGCAGACTGGAGAATGCTTATGAGCACAAAAGGGTTTTTTTGGAATGACCTGTTCCAAAAAACCATCTCAGATCTACAAGAATGAGTCAGGCCTGTGTAAGAACGTAACTTTTTCTTACCCTTTTTTTGTGACTGCTGTTTCTTATTAAATTCCTGCTTCACCTTTAGAAATTATTTCTTTTCTACAGAACATTTTGCTGTACATATCAGAGCTCTCTGCCCAGTAACTAGCTGTTTATTCAGAGACGTACAGACTGGCCAGACCTTAGGAGGTCACCTAATTTATCTCTGTGCCTGATGGCAGGATTTGATTACGACTCTCATTCCTGGTTGATGATTGTCTGTAGATGCCTAGTGACAGAGTTTCTTTCAGTCGGGTGCCTGCTCCAGTGCCTCCCTGTCCCTAACACTGAAAGCTTTCCCTGATATCTAACTTGAATTTTACTTGTTGTTATCTTCTAGTCCCAGCCCAATGGACTTGGAGAGCATGTGAAAGCCTTAATGTCTTACATTTCTGCACAAGTCTTCCCTTAACTTGTTTCCTCACTGGTACTTTTTCGGCTCTGGTAGTATCCTTTCCTGTGTACTGGCTTCTCTTCATCTGCTCCACTGAGCTGGACACAGGGCGTGTGAGTGGAGACTTTATCAGTGCCGTGCAGAGCGGAAGGATTACTTCATGTGTCTTGCAGAGGACACTCGCTTTTAGCTGGCCTGGGTTGCGTTTTTCACAAGTGCATGACATTGTTTTTCCCTCTTCAGTTTACGTCCCTCCAAAACCCCAGATCCTTTTCTGTGGAACAGATACCTAATCAGTTGATAATTGATTATTTATAGCTAGTAATTTACAGTTGGTAATGCCTAAATGCAGTTGAGAGCTTGTCCATATTGAACTGCACCCAATTTCCACCAATTTGTCAAGAACTTTCTTAATTCTAGTCTTAGCCTCCAAAGCACTCACCTCTCTCAGCTTGTGTCGCCTGCACATTTAATAGGGTTCTTTGTACTTGCAATCCAGGTTGTTAATGAATGTAAGTCATCAGCTGCCTTCTCGTCCTTCCTATAACTCCATTACATATAGCCCCACTTTCTGCAGGGTCTTCTCTAGGCCCTTGGGTTGGTTTCTGCTGCTTGCCCTGCTTGTGAGCCTGTGTTACCCAACCCTATGGATCACAGCTCAAAGCTCTCAGCACAAGGTTAGGAAGCCGGCCTTGCTCTCGTACAGGTAACTTCTCAAAATATCACTGATGTCCACATCGCTGTATGGCAGGAGCGTTGGACAAGATGGTATAAAACCATTGGACAAAACCTGCACAGTTTTCCAGCAACGTTTGGATTTGATTTTCTAGGAGAAGAACAACTTAGGATATCAGCAGTGGTGCGTAGGTAGCTGGCTATAGGTTATTTCTTTGCAGTTAGACATTAAACATTCCCGCTCTTGCAAAGTTATTAGAGAATTATCAGACTATGGTATATAATTAACCCTCAATAAATAAATTAAAACCATTTCTGGGCTAAACTGTGTGCTTGTATGGAGCCTTCCATCCTGTGGTTAAATCTGTAGTTCCCTTTTTCAGTGCATGCTTGTCTAACTTATCATGTGCCATCATTTCTGAAGTACCTATCACATTTGTACTTGAAAGACAGCAGTTATAAAAGAAACCCACAGGGAGATGACCCAGAGGACGTTTGAACAAACAGCAGACTCTTCACAGAACTTTTGAGACTCCGCAGGTAACCTCCTGGGATATCTGTTGCAATTTGTCTTTGTCTTGTTGTGCTTTGTTTGAAGACTGCAAAGGTCCCGCTTTTCAAATTCAGCTTTGCCTTACACTGGGAAATGCATCTGGAATTGGCTTCTGACCAGTTGCCTGTGAGATAGTGGGACACGTCAGGTATAAGTAAGAAAATCATTACCTTTTAAAGACTGTTTTCTATGATTTGGATTTCTGCTGTCCTTTAAGGAGGAGTATACACTTTACGAAGGGAATATATGCCTTACCTTCTGCTTATTACTATTTACCATATATAACCAAAACATAATATAATCAAGGCTTTTATTTGTCCTGAGAACTTACTATATCCATTTTTGTGAGGAGCGTACTCCTCTTGCAGATTTCTAGTTAACATCTTTACTTGAATACACTTATTTTTATTCTCTTTTCAGTAATTTCTCACATGAAACAGACAGGGTATCACAGACTTCAAGGTGTTCTTATAATAGGCTGTGCTCTTACACAGCTATGGAAATACCTCTTCCAAAAGCTGTCTTTTCAATCTTAGTCTGATAGCAAGAAACAGAAAAATAGCATTTTTGAAAACAAGGCAGGAAAAGATAAACTGATAAGAAAAACAAGGATAATAATTGAAAGCTAATCTGCATTACAGTAACATTTTATATCCAGTTACAAATCAGTAAACTGCTACTCAGAAAATGTTAGATCTGTGTCTAATAGGTGCATGCTTTTAGACAGCAAAAGTACCTTTGAATAGTTGATCTTTAGGATCTTCCCAGAAGTATAGGGTAAAGAATGTGCCCAGGAAGAATTAGAATCCTTATTTTTTGAGGATAAAGTAAAAAAATCTGTAGGTAGCCAAACCCACTTTAAGTAAACGCAAGAGAGAGCCAGCTTTTTTAGTTGTGCTAAATGCCAGAGCAGTCCTGAAACCAGTGTACTGACATTACTCAAGTTAGTAGCTGTGAATCCTAAGCAGTTGTAAAATATGAGGCTTTTTAATGATTTTTTTAAATAACGTACTGAAGTGATTGCTTTTTTTTAAAAAAAGTGAGTTCTCTTAGCAGTGGATCAGATGAAACTTCTTTCCCAAAGTCTCGTAGTTGTACCAGATAAAGCTTTGACTGCAGCTGGGGAAGCACCACCTGTCCCTCCGTCTCTCTTCTATGCCAGTGGAATGCCCTTCGGTGGGCTCTCATGTCTTTCTCACTGAGGTACCTGGTTCACGTTACAAGATCTTAATCTACTTGAAACTGCTTTCTTAGCT